GTTTCCGGAGATTGACCGAGTACCTACATTTGAATGACAATACGACTCAACATCCTGCGGGGTCTCCTGAGTATGACTGGTAAATAAACTTAAAAATTTGTAGAATGTAATTGATTCTAAAAGTGCATTTTCATACATGTCAAACTGTCATCATTATATCTTTAACTTTTTAAACAAAGATATGATTTTTGTTCCACAAAACATGTTTGGTATTTAATATTTTACAGGCTTCACAAGATACGCCCATTGATAGAGATGACTCGGAGAAATTTTCAGAGGTACATGAAGCCTGGGCAGTGTCAGAGCATGGACGAGGGGATGATACGCTACAAAGGGCATTATTTTGCAAAGCAGTATACACCTTGCAAACCAATCAAAAGAGGGATGAAGGTAATTTTATAATTTAAAAAAAATATTTTGCTATTTCAAAAGTTCTATTTATAGTATTTAAAATATTTTATCTATATAAAATAAAAAAAAACTTCACAAACCATTACTTACTACATGTATCAAAGAAATCCAAATATAAAGAGGATATAAATATATAGATAGAAAATAAAGCCAAAATGACTATATACCCAGATAGCATGACTATGTTGGGCCAACGTTGGCGCACAGTTGTTGGCTGCGTTGGTCCAACGTTGGCTACCTAACGTTGGCCCAATGCAAGTTTGCTCATCGGCCCTACGTTGGCCCAACATGTTGGCCCAACGTTGGCACAACGTTAGCCTATTTTATTACAGCATTTGGTCAACGTTGGCCCAACATTGGCCCAACGTCAATTACCAGCAGTGATTTTATCAACAAAGGCCCAACATTGGCCCAACGTACTTTTCGTGTTGGCCCAACAATGGCCCAACGTCCGTTCACCAACATACCATCGGTGGCTCAATGGGGGTCCAGTCTCCGGTACCTGTGTTGGTCAAACAATGGTCCATTATTATTTTACGGATAGTTTTTTTTTCAACGTAGGGCCAACAGAGGCCCAACCTATCCTATATAAATAATGATTTCCATTCAAAATTAAGCCATCTTGACAAAAATTAATAACTAGCTAATGTTGACAATGATGAGGCAAAAGAAAAAAGTGATAAACTGTACAATTTATTTGTTAGTTTCTAACAAATTCTTTTAAGTTTGCTTCAATATTATAACAATAATTAAACAAAAACATTTGCCAAAGCTTACAGAGTTTAAGAATAAATAATAATACGTCTTGCGTTCACGTTTCTGCCTTAAAATGTATTCAAGATGTCGATTTATACTCCACACTTCCTCTACATCACTTGCTTCTACGATTGACTGGATTCGGCACACAGTCAAATCTAAAACGTTTAATATAATGAGGGAGTTGAAATTTCAATTTCAAACACAATCTTCTTTCAAACATCATCTAACATCAATTCCAGAACCATCCCTTTGTTCACAAAAACTTGTAAAATCCCATAACTATAATAGAATATAAAGGAGCTTAAAGTTCACAACACAACCTGGCAATATTTGAATTTCAATTTTTATCAATCCCTCTTTTCAGTAAAGTATTGTTTAAAGACACAAATAGTATAATCGAAGAGCATTTGAAACGTCCTTCTTTAGTCTTGTTCGGATTGCAATTGTTTTTCACATATTCACTTTTTTCCCATTTTCTTCCTCCTTCTTCATTGTCATAATGAACAAGTATGAAGTTCTATATCTGCTGCAAATTAATGCACACTGACACAGCACATTTCCCCGTCTAAGAACAATATATAGCTGTTAAGAAAAGTGAATATATTAATATCTTTGAAAATTGATGAAATATTTATTTTTTTTGATTAACTCATGATGCATTTAACCCTGTTTAAATACTAAAGAATTTACCATTAAACACACCTTACCATATATACTGAAATTTTCTTATCTATTTCATTTCTCGTCATGATATACAATGTAAGATATTATGTCTTTCATATAAACTGAATCATTTTATAAAAGAAGTAGCTATAGTTTTCAAATTTAATAATACTTTACTTACATTTCTTTTAGGACTTCGCCGTTAGCCGTTGTGTGCACCAAATTTTTAAAATCCCAACCTTACTGTAACTTCCTCTGCATTTTGAGTTTATCAGCCAGCTGTGAGTAATTAAACTTGACAGCTCTCCACATTTTGGTGTTTTAAATTTGCTGCGACTCTTTCAGTTTTAGCGACTCGCCTAACTTTTGTTTGAATGCAATTATAAAGCTGGCTGGGTTATCTTGATTTATGCGTCATTCACATCCCGTCCCTGGGAACTTTTAGTTTCCATATTATGCTAACTTTTATTCGGTCGTTTATATATTACCGGGTAAACTAATGTAAGAAAAACTTTTATTTAGTCTCCTTTTATAATGACTTTTCGTTAATTGTATACGAGAGAAACAAATCTTACAATTACACTCAAAGTTTACGGTTAATTAAGATTTCAAAATTTATAAACAGACACTATATAGAGAAGATTTTTTGAGAAGTGGATACTAATAACAGAAAAGTATAATTGTCATCAATAAACCATAGTGAGTTTAGTCTCATTGCTATGGAAGAAATTAATGATCTTTTCATAAAAGCCTAGTGTATAACAAACACTGGGCCAACATTGGGCCAACGTAATGCCCCCAACTCATGCACATCATCTTTTAGTTTGCAATCTAACTGTTGGCCCAACAATGGCCCAATGTACTTATTCTAACTATAAAAGAACACTTAAAACAAACACTCAAGCTTACATTGGGCCAACGTTGGGCCAACATACTGCTACCAGATTAAGTTGACAGTTTGGTTAAGGTTGCATTACAAACGTTGGGCCAACAGTGGGCCAACATTGAACCCCAACTTCATTAGAAAATATAACGAAACGAAATTAGTTGATGTTGGACCAACGTTGGGCCAAGGTAAGAAACCCAACATGGTTGGGTACTCAAGAGGTTATTCACATGGTAACGTTGGTCCAACGTTGGCCCAACATTGTCTTCCCAACGCCAACTAAAGACCAACCGTACAACCTTTAGCCAACGTTGGCCCAACGTAGTCATGCTGTCTGGGTAGAACCTTTATGAAATACAGTGTACCTTGTTTCTCATGAAAGACCTTGGTCTGAGTCAAAAAGCCAATTCAAAGACACGACAGCATACAAGCTTTATGTTAAATATATGCCCAATATGATATTATATGACCATCAAAATAGTGAAATAGTTATGGCTAGTAGGAAAAAACAAACAAATAAATGAACACTGTTTTGACTTGATGATGTAATGAAGAAGTTAAGTGAAAAAAGAGTTGACTGTAAATTTTTCCCTTTTTGAGGGAAAGACTTTTTTGTTTGTTTGTTTATTGTTTAATGTCCCTCTCAAGAATTTTTCACTCATATGGAAACGCCACCACTTGCCGGTGAAGAGCTGCAAATTTTGTCCTGTACTCGGCACTCAGGGCCATTGAGCAGTGAGAGATCTTTTTCGTGCCAGCACCAACTGCGACACGGGACCTTGGTTTATACGGTCTCATCTGAAGGACCGGTCTCCACGTCCCACAGTGGGATTTAAATCCACAACGTAAGGATCAACTCTTTACTTCGTGAGTCTAGAACAGATGCTCTAATCATAGCATCAAGCGGGCGACAGGGGAAAGAGGTTATTGAACATATTATATTAAGTTTTACACTGTTTAATTTCTTCTATTTTTTCCACATTTCTAAGAACCTTGTCATTGAACACCATTTAAATTTTGTTTTGTAGGTCTGGATGAGGTGTGAACCAAATGGATATACCAATGATTATAAAATCTACTCGCGCAAGCATGATGAGATGCAAGGGCAATATCTTGGAGAAAGAATGGTTAAACATTTATCCAAGCCGCTGAAATGGAAAGGACACCACCTTTTCTTTGATAGGTATGATTTTAAAACAAAATAGTTTTTAATGTTTTATCTCTATGTGTATTTACTTACTTGCTTATGTGAAAACTTGAAAATATGAAATGATACCTGGAATTAACCTCAGCTAGCTATAATGAAATGCATATTTATTAAATTTTTGAAACTATTTCATAGGTACTTTACGTCAATTCCATTACTTCAGAATCTTGGAGTTAATGGTATTTATGCGTGTGGTACTATCAACACAAATTGCAAAGGCTTTCCAGATGAACTTAAGAACCCAACTTTTAGTGGTCGTGGTGATGCGGAACAACTGCAACATGACAATTTGGTTGCAACAGCCTGGAAAGATGCAAAACCAGTAAGTGAATGTTTGTTGACTGGCATGTATTTTACTGAGAAATGTATCCATCCATTTGTTAAATCATATGTATTTTATAGGTTCATATTGTTTCAACCACATCTGATCCACGTGGGGATGGACCAACACATCGCCGAGTACCTGGAGGAGAGGTGATCCTAATACAACGACCACCAGCTATTGCAGCTTACCAGGAAAATTACTATGGGGTAGATCGTGTCATGCAGTACCGTTAGAAGTGTCCAATTGGTCGACAGTTAAGAAAGTACTGGAAGTATTTCATGAATTTCATACTGGAGGTGGCCCTGGTCAACACGTTCCTACTTTGGAAGATGACCCCTAGTGTGATGAAACCAAGACAGCATTATTCTCTCGGTGATCTTCATATTGATATTGCCATGAGTCTTTTTGAAGATTTTTCTAACAGGAAGCAGCCAAGATATTCTGGAGTGCAGCTAATTACAGCAGCAGGTTCAAGTCAGCATCGGAGCATAAAGTTGGATAGACCCCGTGGACGGTGTAAATGGTGTGCCAAAGAAGGCAAGAGGAAAGATGTTACTTATGGTTGTGACAAGTGTATGGTTCATCTTTGTCAGGGTGCTTGTTTTCAGGCATACCATGTGCATAATCAGCTTCTAATTTTGTAATGAATACCTGTCATTATCAAAGTGTGCATCTTTATTCAGTGTTGCTATAATCTGTATCTTTATTGTATGCAACATTATTTTTTATTTTTTTTTTCAAAGATTTTAGTGATACCTTATATATGAACGTATAAATCATGTGATCTGCAAATGAAAAAGAATGTATTTTGAAGGTGCAAACTGTCCTTGAATAAAGGCTTTGACAGAATTTAATTATTGTGAACCTTCAAGACTTGTTACAGGTATATAAAAATTTGAATACAGCAGATTTGCAATCATTGTAAATTTCCATCATATCAATTTATTTATTTTCCTTTTTTGTTTTATTTACTCACAGTATTATACCTTAATATGATTTTGTTTTCGAATTTATGTTTTAGTTGAAGATATTCATTCCTGCAAAATTGTTTCACAAAATACAGCATTATATGCACAAATGTATATTTCCAAGTGTTTCTTTGTAACTGTTTTCAAAAGAATGTGTTTAGGCCCATGCAATTGTTTCGGAAATATTTTTTTTAACCCTTTCTCTACCGGCACATTTTAAGCGTTTTTGCATACCTTTTCATATATCCTTATAATTTAATTTATAACTTTTTTCTTCAAAGAGTAATCTAGGCATAATACATACCATTTTGTAGGGAATTTTCTAGAGATGATATTTCATAACTACCAAGGTACCTCACGACTGACTTTGCTAGTGGAAATTGAGGTCAAAGCTCAAATAAGTGCAGAATTTTATTGCATTTTTGATACATTTTTATCTTCAAGATAAATTTTTACAGTGATCCACATTGAAATAGGAAATTCTGAATAAACCCACAAAAGCGTATGATCCTTTGCTACATTAAGCACATAAACTTTTTTTCAATTCGGAAAATAATAACTTTAAAGAGGTTGCTAAGTAACGGAGTATTTTTTCAATTTTCAGGCAGTATTTCTTGTTTATTGCTTATCCCACACACATTTATGCATTCCATTACATTTTAAAGTCAAATGTGGGGTAATGATACTGAAAGAATTATCATTGTCTTAAAGTTTGACCTCTTTAGATTCCATTTTTTGGAGGTCAAAGGTCAAATAAGTGCATAATTTTAGAAATTTTCCCAAAACTTTTCATCTTTCTTGCTAAAATTTTGTAACAATGGATGCTTAAGAAGAAAATTCTGAATGTACTCTTTAGAAGGCAGCATACTGAATTGCAATATTCACACATTATTTTTGTTCAAATTTGTGTTTAATGACCTTTAAATGGTTGCTAAGCAACAACAATATTCAATTTTTTGGCTTTATGGGTTTCTTATTTCATTATCATTAACAGTTTTCCATGGTATCGTATGTAAGATATAAGGTCTAAAATAATGCATAAAACATCCAACAAATAATTGTCTTAAGTATTGACCCTGACATTTCTGTTCTTTGGGGGTCAAGGTCATATCAGTACAGAAATCTGCCTTAAATTGTAAGTATATATCAAATTTGAAATGCTACAGTTATTATGGACATATTGTCCAATAACTGACACATAAAATTGTAAACAACAAAATCAACAGACATCACAAAAGTGAATTGTTTGGTTTGGTTTGGTTTGTTTTCACATCGTGGCTGTCATTACAAAAATATATGTCTGACTTAAGTAAACTGGAACAAAATTTGTAAGATGTGTTCTCAAGTACTTAATAGTATTTCAATCTTAGTGACACATACTATTAAAATCATATTAAGGTAAAAATGTATTGCAACCAGTATATTTTTTTTAATTATACAATGGAGTTTCTATTTTGTCATTTTTAAAAACTAAGTCAAACACATTTTTTATCACCTAGAATATATAGTGTACTAAAACATTTACAATATTTCTTTGTTACAAGAATTATTTTACATTTTCAAGTCTTTACTGGCCTTGGGTCACTTCTTTAAACAACTTTCAAATTTGTGATTTTATAAGCATATGAAAAAAAAAACATCAGAAGATAGACAAGCACAGAACTTTGAATCTTTTTAAATAAATGGCTTCTGCTACAATCTTTCACTCATCCAGTTTATGTGGCATACAATTACTGAATTTTAGTAGCCAAAGATTTCAATTTTGCTACTCTTCTCACAAACCCTTGACTTATCATGCTGTCAAAGTCAGAATTCCTTATATCACATGACATGATCTCGAATCACCACTTGCATCATTGATAGAAATAAAGAGCATTCCTAAAAAGTGAAGTATCCAGCAAAGAATAATTAACGAGCAGATAGGCTTATTTGTTAGTAAGTTTGCAGGTCTATATCTGTAACTTACGATTCCAGATTACATCATGTGCACATCATTTTGATGTTGAATGATCGCTCTGCCATTTCTCTGAAAGACTGAGGGAACTCCTTTGATTTGACCAAGGCATGATCAGTTTCTAAATGTATTCTGTCCTGAAACAAATTTTAAAAAAAAAGTTTTGCAAAAGCTTTTCTAATCGAATATGTATTTTTAATCAGATAATTCAGATTATACAGAAATCTACAATTGACACATACTTTCCTTTTAAATTATTGTGAAAAGTCTTTATAAAGCATATCATATATATTATATTATATATGTCATATTTTGTCATACTTGTAGTTAAATGGTTTGGTGAAGTCAATGTATTATGAGAAGGATATGGAGATAACGAACAGTATTCAATCTCAACGTCCATTAAACAATATACAAAATAAGAGCAGAGCAAATACGGATCTCCGAAACATCAGAGGTGGGATCAGGTGCCATGGAGGAGTGAGCATCCCCTGCCGACCGGTCACACCCGATGTGTGCTCGTTGTCATGATCAGGAAATAACGGAAAAAATCCGTCGTCAATTCAGTGTATAAATAATGGACTAACAATTGGTATGAAAAACGTCAGTCAGCGTTTGACTCAATGGGCGACTTCACTTGGAACTATTGTACATGAATAACTGACGTCATCTGTCTAAATATAACCCAAATTTGCATAAAATCAACTGAACAACGATAGTAGATACATGTACGCATGTTTTTTTTCCAAAATGGCGCAGAAAAAGATGTTATGCTTTTTTATGTTTGAAAGTTTGTCAGATGATACTGAGGATGAATTTACATACGAATATAGTAACTTCTTACTTCTAACCGGGGCCGTTCTCCATCATTGCACAAAAGCGGTGTCACCACGAGTACCCGGTTATGTTGAAAATGTTATTCCTCTATTTTCTACAGACAATTTTCGGTACCATTATCGTATAAGCAAAGAAATGTTCGAGGAAATACTCGTCAATATTGGTGCCTACCTCACATCTAATCACGGCGGGGGCATTGAAGGGATTCCTCCATCTAAGCAACTACTTGTATTCATGTGTTATATGTCAAATAAAGTGACAATGCGAGAAATTGGTCATTACTTTGACATAGGACAATCCACAGTGCATGGTGTGTTGAAAAGGGTCAACAGTGCATTCAACGAAAACCTTTCGAAGGTATTGTGTTAAAAGGTGGACACCTGAATTTTTTATAGTACCCCCCCCCCCCCTTCCACATAATTACAATGCAATTATTATATAGAAGTGTTGCATTTGTTTTATTTAGAGGATTTCCTTATTGCTAAAATTTGAGTTGCATATAAAAGTAGATTTAATCTTTTGATCTTGGTCTCTTTGCAAATTATTGTGAAAATCTTATGCGTATGTTTATTTGACATAGCAGACTCAGAGGACCAAAGCTCATTTAAAAACAACTCTGTGCTCTGATCTAACTTTTGATTTTGATACTACAATCTCCCATTTTAGTGTCTTGCCATTATTTCAATAGATCACCCTTGGCATGTCATTTTATACCTGTGATATTTTTAAGGCCATGCGAAAAAAAACTGATTTTGACCTTGAAGTCTTGAGTCATGTGAAGATTATTTTTTTTTCCTTCTTAAGCCAAGATCACACATGTACATCTCTACATGTACTAGTATATAATTTTCCTCAGAGATGTTTTTTACAATCATTTTAGATTATCCAATGGCCTGATTTCATCGAGCAACAGGGAATTGCACAACACTTTCAGCTTCAATCTGGGCTTCCAGACATAATAGGTGCTCTGGATGGGACGCACATAAGATTATCTTCTTGCATTGGTGGAGATAACGACTATATTAACAGGAAACATTAGGCCTACCCCTCAATACAACTCCAGATGATAAAATATGATACTGACTATTGAGTAATTTACTACCTTGTTAATAAATAACACATACTAAAAATATACATTTTTTTTTAAATTACAGGTAGTAGTTGACGATGATTTAATGTTAAGGGACATATACACTGGTTGGCCGGGGTCAACTCACGATGCTCGCGTACTACGAAATTCAAGTCTTTTTACCAATGCTACAGCTGGACAGTACTTTGACGTGAATAAGTATATAATAGCAGACAGTGCATATCCATTAAAAGCTTGGTTAATAACTCCGTTTATAGACAACGGTCGCTTAAACATAAATCAGAGGAGATTTAATCGAGTTTTGTCATCTGCAAGACAAGTAGTAGAGAGGGCTATTGGTCATCTAAAACAACGGTTTCGGCGACTACAAGAAATAACCATACATGACTCTGATGAGATTGTCAAGACAATTGTATCTGGCTGCATACTACACAATCTTTGTATCTTGCATCATGATAGTGTGGAAGATTTCTTAACAAATGATTCTAACGATGGCAATGGACACCCTAATAATTACCCCAACCTGTACCCTGATGGAAGAGATGGGGTGCAAAAGAGGAATCAGCTTGTTCAGGGACTTCCATGACTTTTTGCTTTTAGTTGCACAAATTTAAAACCATCATTGTTTAAGTTCAGAATAAAAAAGGCGAGCTAATTTAATTGTTTTTTTTTTTTCATTGAATATCTTTCTTCAGAACAACAAACTTAACAAAATTAAAATCTGAGCAACAAAAATAACAAAAAAACAAACAATTTCATTTTCTGATTTACAGACAAAAAAAATATGATTGTCATATTTTGGGTAAATCACACACCTGTACATTAAAACTGTAGTTCAATACACGTTTAATACATGTAACTATGTATCAACAGAAAAAGGTTGTTTATCTGTAACATAAAAGTTTATGAATTCAAAATATTCCTTTACTACTTGTAAAAATACAACCAAAAAAAAAAAAGCAGGTAATCAGAGGTTTCTGAAATTAAATTGAGCCTAATACATGTATGTAGGCAATTTTGGGACACTTAAAAGTTTACTTTTTATCAACAGATTTCTCGAAAATATCAAGAAGTCTATCAAAGCGTTGCAGCTTTTCTTCCTGGTGCCTTTGCATCTGTTCCCTCATTTCTTTATGCATAGTTTCCATTTTAGTATAAATCATTTCTGCTGACCTTTTCTTTGGGTGAGTTGATTTTTTATCAGTTGTTTTCTTAACAGTTACCGGTATCTCTTTCTCTTGCTTTGCAACACTTGCACCACTGTCAAACGATACTGTTGCTTTGGTTGATGGTTTGTTGCCAAATAAATTATCGAATTCTTTTTGGTACTTATATTCAATTCTTTCATTTCCAGTTTGCTTATTTAAGTCGATAGTTTCTTTGTATTTTCTTTTCATATTTCTAAATTTATTCAGGATTTGGAGCTTAGAAACCTTGATTCCTTCAGCATTCATGTTTTCAGAAATTTTATTCCATAACGTGTCATGATTTTTGTTTTTATCGAAGGCTTCATCCATATTAGTTCGTTGGAAAATTAGTTGCCTTTCTTCACTTTCGTCCCATATGTGAACCTGAAAAAAGTTCTTTGTGAATTAAATTTTCTATAAATGTAATATCAGGTTATCTTTTAGAAAGAGCATTTCATATAAACTATGGTGCATTTAACAGGGTACTTGTAATGAATCTGCTCTGATGGCTATGTAGACTATACAATATTTAAAGTCAAAGTAAAGATGTAAAAGTTCATATATTGAACAAAATACACAGCTAATTAATTTATAATGTGTCTAATAAGCCATCTGCAGTAAAGAAATCACTTTCTCAACCATCTGTCATTACTTTTTCTACTTTTAACTGTTAAAAAAATAAACGTGCCTTAATTAAATATTTAGCAATACATGTATATGATATATATATAAGCTTACAACATTTAGATTTCTTCCTATTTTTTCTCTTGTTCTTCTTTCCATAGCTATTGAAGTCTTTTAATTTCAAATTAATATTTGATTGAAACTCTTCTGGGGTCAGAAATGTTTTAGGGCCCACTTGAATCATGTTATTTTCTGTATACAGATAAGGAGAAAATGGAGTGAATAAAGATGAGGTAAAACATCTTGTTGAGGCCAAGCATGACGATGGAAAAGACCCAGATTCAGATGATTCAGAATAATATATCTGTAAGAGTTTGGGGGCATAACAGTTCAGAATTTTGTCTCCGTCATCCAAATTATAATTAAGGCCAAAATGTACCTTTTGATCACCATCTTCCATAGGAACTGTCTTTGGCAATGAATTAGCAGGCGGTAATTGTGCATTTGCAGTAGGTGATTCGGGATCTGACTCAGGTTTTTGCATGTTCATGGCAGGTGATTCAAAGTTCTGTGTATTTGTAGCCACTGATTCAGGATGCAATGCAGCTGAGGCAGGTGATTCAGAAGGCGACTCAGATGGAGAATCAAACATAAGTTTGTAAATAGATTCCTTAGTGTCTGGATCTGAATAATAAAAACAATAAATTACATAAATACAATGTAAAGTTGTAAACGCTACAGATTCCAGACTACTTCTTAAAACATTTTTACCAGATGGTAAACATTGACAACCATGAAAGGAGAAATCAGTTTATTTCTGTTAAAAACCTAAGAGATTTCAGTTAATAGGAATAAAAAATTAAGCATTTATAATGTATGAAATCTTTTTTGTCATACCACTCTCCTGCACTGAAAAATATTATACCTACAGTACCCGCATCGTTATTCTTTACAGGATACACGATACGATAGGATACACGCACGATACGATAGGATACACGCACGATAGGACAGGATACACGCACGAAAGGATAAACGCAAAACACGATACACGCAAAACACGATAAACGCAAAACACGATAGACCTGATCTTCATGATACATGTAGGTGAACGCATGTTTCAAAATGCGAAACGTTTTTTGACAAGACGACAAGATTATTTTGTTTAGTTACTGCAATATTTTAATTTAAATACTTGCAGAGCTTCAAATCTAAACTATAAAGTACATTTAATTATTATAAAAAGAACTTGAGATCTCTGTGGTAATTTTACAAAAGTTGTTTATTTATATAAAAAAAAATTGACAGTGATTAAAGGGATTATTATGAAATGGAGATTGTATTTTTTTTAATTTCTTCTCAAGGGTGTGAATTTTGAAACTCTATAAATAGATTAATTATTTAAGAAAAAATATACATTTTAATTTTCTATCTAATAAATTTATCTACCAGTACCAAGTTATTTCACGGAAGGAATTTACGCAATAAATTAAATATTTGTATTTAATGTTTAAAGCTTACAATCTGCGATGTATCCAAAATCGCAATTAAATATTAAAACATCTTAGAAAAAAATAATACAAGTAGAAGACCGGCCGAAAGAAAGGTTCCAAGATATCGGCTTTAACAAATAGATTTAACATGATAGATCTATCAAGAAATAAACAGTTCAAGAGAATTAATTTCCTGAATAGAAATCTAAATAATTGTTTAAATAATAACGCTCTGCATTAATACATGTAAACTGTGTTATGAGAATATGAATCTGTTACAGCTGCATATGTACATGTACGTTTACGCTAAGCTAGGGCTTATGTTCATTTAAACATTTATATATCGGATACTTAAAATCTCGTATTTATTAATGAATATTGAATGGTTAAATAGTTTTTTCTTTACAATACAAAACAGAAAAATTAATTAACAAATATTAAAAGAGTGAAATGCGACTTTTCCGACTAAATAATTATAAACCATTGCTATTAAGCTCTGTGTGTACTGTTTCTAATAATAACAAAAAAAAATAGGTTTAATTCGGCAAATGAATTATTAAAACTTAAAAATCATTTTAGACTGACCCGGTAATCTCATTTGAGGCATATTTGAAGGGCGGAATATTGAAAGTCCGTAACCAATTTAAAATGAGATAAAGAAGATCTAACCAAATAGCCAAATATAATATTTAATTCTTAAATAAAGTTATATACGTATGGAATTAATCGATTAATACTATTAATTGATTCGGTGTATTTACTATAGTCTTTCATGGTAACGGCGGAATCAGACGACTTCTTTTGTTTTGTTTTTATAGTAAGATACCGTAAAAAAAATAATGCGAGCTAATTTTCATAGTTTAGAATGTTAGAACTATTTCATCCGTTTCTACGATCAATGAAATTGTTTCCTAGAATTAATTTTGTCCGTATTACGTAGAAAACCCCATGATCCGAAAGTGCATGTACCATAAGTGCAGTATTTTTATTATACCCCCCGCTTGAAAAGCGGGAGGGTATATAGTAATCGTTAATTCCGTCCGTCTGTACGTCTGTCCGTCCGTCCGTCCGTCTGTCCGTCCGTCCGTCTGTTACGCTTTGGGGTACCCATCTCTTATCCGCAACTCCTCTCATACCACTGAATGAAATTTGATGAAACTTTCACAGAATCTTTATTACATATTGCCAATGTGCACCTCCTATTTTACTTTTTCATCCGACACATATTTTGGGTTTCCCGGCCACAGGAAAACATGGACTTTTTCACCAGTTATAACCATATGGGAGGCGGGGGGTATCATTTAGTGAGCTCATCGCTCACAGTACCTCTAGTTTTTTTAAGTTTTATTAAAAGACTAATTTACATAAACATGATGGAAACAGTGTACGAAATGAAATGAATCTGCGGATTGAGTTTAGGGACTTCATTTCATTAAATTGATGAATTTGAATTTTTATTTAACATTCAAGCGATGCGATGATTTTTTTTAATCCATTAATTGTACAATTATTTAATATATTTTGAATTAAATCTTTGATAAGTTTGTTCAAACAAGTTAGGAACAAAATCCCGAAAATAAGTAGATGCGTTTCATTAGAACCAATAATATTCGAGGTTACTAATTGACCCCAAGTGAGAAATCAGTACAGGTATGTTGACGGTGATCACACACACGGGCCGAGGTGTCAGTTAGGGGAGAAGGGGGAGGGGGTAGTTGACCGCACAGGAAGACAGTGTGCTAATTAGAGAGCTACACATACGTGTCAGTTTTCTGGTAAGGAAAGGTCTTCGATTTATTTTGATTTTTGACATCCCGATGGATTATATTTTCAGTTTATTTCCACGCCGAAAAGGTAAGCTTTTAAAAAACATCATGTTTTTCCCTGTGTATATTATTTTTAGATTATCTAACGCCAGATAAAATTAATGAAAAACTTCTATTTTATAGTAACAACCAAGGTGTAATAAACATAGTAGAATATTTTCATGCATTTTATTTTTTAATTTTGATTTTTTTTTTATTTAGACATTCATCAAGGAATTTATAAGTAGCTGATTAAAAAGTGATAAAAAAATTAAAAAATTGAACGCATACGGCCAACATCGATGTTAAAATCATCTGGATCAATGTCATATGCTTTATTATTTTTGTAACATCAATACTTTAAATAATTATGCATACATGCAGATCAGAGGCGTAAACATATAACTAATATAATCAGACGATAAACAAGGGAAAAAAGAATATAGATACATATCAATCCCATGCTTATTATTTATTTATTTGCTTTTTGAGTACGCATACACCATAGCTTTCAAAAATTCTTTCTCAAGTAACTCTGATTTATTTAAGAAAATCATATTGATAATATTTAATTTTGACAAATTAAATCATACAATTCGATAAAAAAAAAAAACCAGGCGACCGATTATAATTTCATTTCCGAAAATAGAGTTACTGTTTAACATTTGATAAACACTCTCTGCTTGTCTATAAAATAATTATTTTATTTATTTATTTTATTATTGATTAATTAATCAAACTACGTTATTTATTTATTCATTCTTTTTCTTCTACGCTTAATATTTCTTTTAATGATGAAAAACAAAGGGATAAAACTTTCATTTCTCTTTTTCGGTTGAAGTTATCTTATTATAGTTAACAAAACGAAAAAGAAACTCGGAATAGCTCAGTGGTTTCTTTCTAAAGTAAAGATAAAAAGCGAGGGTTTCCGAATATACACGATAAACGCAAAACGATAGAACCTGATAAACGATCTACACGATAAACGGAAAACACGATAGAAAACGCAAAACCTGATAAACGGAAAACACGATACGATAGGATACACGCACGATACGATAGGATACACGCACGATACGATAGGATACACGCACGATAGGACACGATAGAATTGTAAAGAATAACGATGCGGGTACTTTGGGATCCTTCAAAAATGTTGCAAGATCCTTGGACATAACACACGTACATTCCTGTCCTGTGTTCCTCCTCCTCACTGTGATTTGAACTCTAAATTAAAACAGAGCATTATAATTAAGTACTAAACCAGCTTTAGGTAGAACAGTGAACAGAAAATAAAATATCTTCTTTTAAAATGACACAATAACATGCTAGCAATTTGGAAATTGGAAACCTGTGATTATTTTTAAAATTATATTTCTAAATATTTTTCAAATTGTTGTGAGGTTGTCTCATTAAATTTATTCTATTATTCTATATAAAAAAAATAAATTTGATTATAACATACAAGTGCTGACCAGCTGACCGTTGACTAAATCTGATAGTGATATGTCTGAATTTAACTTACATGTAAGTTGATTTCAAATAAAGGTAATGCAATGTAAGCTATAAAATTGTGAAAGCTTAGCTTAAAAACAAAAGTGCATACGCTACATGTGAAATGTTTAGGGGCTCAAGTATTTCAGTATGTCACACAGTGATGACCTTTATTTACATTTTTGTCATCGTCTATTACCCCCCCCACCCCCACCCCCATCTTCCCCTCCTTGCTCGCGCATCCAGATTTCAATTTTAGAGGCACCGATAACTAGTTTCTCTACATGGATCAGAAAAATTCAGATCCATGCCTTTTTAGCGACCTATAATGCATTATAGTTTTTTAAAATCATGTAAAATAAAAGTGACGGCATGTAAAATACGTAAACACTAGAAAACTTAATCAAAATCATTGCACAAAGCCTGAAAACAATTATATCAACTTCTCTGCACTCACGTGTCTACTGTTTCCGCCATATTTGATCTTCGTTTACCACAGGAGTATAAGGGTCCTGCGTGTGTTCATCACGGGTAAAGGTCAAAGTTGAAGTGATGTCACTTTTGTTGATACAGAACCTGTTCATATTTTACGCGAGTAACTATAGTTTGTACAATAGTTCCAAATGAAGTCGCTCAATGATAAATTGTATTTGCTGACAAGGTCATTGTATCGACCATAGAACGTACGAAATGATGACTTTAAACGAGACTGCTGATATTCTTGTTTCTTTAACTTGCTTGTCAATAATTTACATCGTTTAAGAAATTGTTCATACGTAGAGCATGCTCTTGCGTATCGAATCAACTGAGATATATATACTCCGTATGCAGGTGATGAAGGTATATTGCTGCATAAGTAAGGGAAGTTGACGATAGAAAAGTTAAAGTCATCACGTTTATCATATAGCTTGGTTGTTAGATTACCATTAACGTCCTTTTCAAGTAAAATATCCATACATGAAACAGATGTGTCAGACTCTGTGGTATCTTTTATTTCAAGCTCACCTTGACATATCGATCAAGTATCGACATCTGAATCCATTATTAATTGACAATACATCGTCGGTTACCTAAATGTCGAGTCGAAGGCCACAGCAAGTGTATTCTTCTTTTCACGCATAAGGTTTTGCATAAATTCTGCTTCATATGAATATATATAAGAATAAGTCTGCTAATAACGGAACGCAATTTGTACCCATGGGAATTCCAATAGATTGTTGGAATACCTGGTCTCCAAAAACCACATAGATATTGTCAATCAGAAACTCAAGCATCTTCTTGATGTCAACTTCAGAGTACTTGTGTGTGCAATCAGAATCTGTTTTAACAAAATAATTTTGCAAATGACCAATGACGAGGTAAGTAAATTTACGAGTTCCATTTTTATTGAAGAAGCAGCTGTCAATGACATCAAAAAGCCTGGATTTAATTTTTAATTTGTCGTGGGGAATTGTTGTGTATAAAGTTGAAAAGTCGTACGTTTTTAAGCTGTTGATTTTTGTAAAGTCTTGTGATTTCAAATTGTCCAAAAGTTCTTTAGAATTTTTAAGTATCCACATCTGATTTACACCACTTCTTGAATATATAGTTTCACAGTACTCTTGAAGTTTTTCCTTCACTACTGTCAATATCTTAGTGAGAAGTAACGAAAGAGGCTTGGTTGAACATTTACTGGAACCTGCAATGTATCTTTGTTTGTAAGGATTCTTATGAAGTTTCGGAATCCAATATATATAAGGTAGTTCAACTACCTGACTGAAAAATTGCCAGCCTTGTACTAAACAATCATGGTTAATCAATTATAAATTTAAAAAAATAGCATAATTGACCATTAATTTTATCAAATGCATGAAATACTTTTTATAGTTTCACTGTTGTCAGGGTTGTTAAGGGAAAGGGCATGTTGGACTGAAAACTGTTACTTCAGAGAAAAATCCCTGGGACAAGGTGTTTATGTACATGGAATTGTTTGTATTTTATCAAATGTCGCTCTCAAGAATTTCTCTCTCATATGGAGACGCCACCACTTGTCGGTGGACGGATGCAAATTTTGTTCTATACTCGGCACTTACGGCTTTTGAGCTGTGAGGGATCTTTTTTATGCCAGCACCTACTGCGACAAGGGACCTTGATTGGTTTATATAAGCATGATAAGTGTAATATAAGATATTTTTATAGTGTCTCATCAGAAGAACAGGTCTCCACGTCTTATACTAAGGTTCGAGCCTGCGATGTAAGGATCAACTCCTTACTTCATGACTATTGGGCTCTAACCACTGCGCTAGTCTGGCGACTCATCTACCTGGGAGTGTTGACTAATAACCATTCAGTGGCAATGAGGAATTTTGACTGCAATAAAATTGACTTACTAATAACTAAGCACCTATGTCCTTCACATCATGGGCTTTTCTGTGCATGGTGGCCATTGGTGGGATTAGCAAGTGGGTCTTCACAGATGAAAGTTCTGAAGCCTTTGGTACCAGCACGCTACACATGCTAAAAAAAATTATGTGTTTGTGTTTTAAATTATGTCAAGTTTCATTTTTCTTTGAATGGTACTTAGTGGTGGTCATGAAAACTTACCCACTTCAAAAACAACACAAAAATAAGTCTAACTTATTCGAACCCATCATCGCAAAAC